TACACACACACACACACACACACACACACACACACACACTTTGAACTGTTACTGTTACATTAGCATACCGTGGTTCACATACAGTACTTTCTGTTCATGTGTAACTGCACGTACTTTGTGTTTGTACGGGACAAAGTACAAAGTACCAAGCTGCACTAGACTTGTTTTTTTTTGTTTTGTTTCGGGCATGTGATGTGGGCCCTGCCACGCCTGCGTCTAAGCCTGGTTAAGACTGTATTTACACTCTCAGTGAGAAATGGAACAGCGTTCGTGGGTGTTGCCCGTACATACCGTTTCTCTGCTGACACAAGTAGGCCAACGGCGCTGGAATGTTTGGCACGGGTCCAACTTATTCCAGCCCAGCCTGCGCTTAAAACTCAAACTTGCCCAAATGGAAGGAGACGAGGTTGAGGCACATGTCTGACAACCACCCACGCACTCCGACAGCTGCGCCGGGGGTAGTGGGCCATGTATGTGGGTTTGTGGGTGACGTCTGCAGTACATTTGTTGTCGAACTTCTTGTTTGGTGCTTGGTGAAAGTGTGTTCAATCTTTGGTCCATGGACAAAATGTTAGCAAAAATACATCGTTTTAATAAAAATGTCTAATATTTTGGGCTTGAAGAAAAAAAAAGTTATTATTTAGCTATTCACTGATTAGCATGTAGCTTTTGTAGCTTTAGTTTGGCTACTATTTTACTGATAAGGTGTCGTTATCTGTTAGCTGGATCTGGTTATTTACTTTTTGTTTGCTAAAAGCTTCATTTTTCCTAAATGTTAGGCTGTAATGTTGGTGTTTCTGAGTTCATTCCTGGTTAGTTTAATCTAATTTTAACTTCTCGGTTTAGCTATTCACTTGTCTGTGTAATTTGTCAACGTGGATTTTACAGAAGTTTTTTTTTTGGGAACAGCCTTTAGCCACTTTTTTAAATGACCAGTAGTTTTGAGTATGGTTTTGACTAGTTTTTAGCCAAATTGTTGCTCTATTTTTGGTCTACTTCTTCTCTGTTAGTATTATTATTATGTTTTTATAAATAATCCATGTAGGTAGCAGGTGATTCAACAGATCAAACAACTAAATATGGACAAAACCGTTTTAGACGACATCACATCATTGTTACAAGTTGTGAGAAATTGTCAGAAGACTTGAACCAAACTGTTTCATAAGATGGTTTCACACACACTCAAATCTTTTTCCTGCTGTTTTCGACTCCTGCAGCTGCTGTAATGAAAAACAAAAACCCTGATAACTTCTGAGAACTGTCAACCCATGTTAATCTCCACGGGTTTGTATTCATTTTATACGGTTTATCAGCACACACATGATCGTTTAAAGCCCCTGCTGCTTGTAAACACAGAGCAACATGAAAACACATGATCAACCATGTGGTTGGTGGCTGTTTGTTTTTTTTCTTTCTCAGCTTCGCTTTTATTTTCTGAGAAACTGACAGGAAAAACACAAGAGAACACAACAACCTCAGCTGTTTCCTGTTTTAGATGTAATTTTCAGAGCGAGCGATGAGGAGATAGAAGAGGCAGATACAGGAGGTGAAGGGAATCAGGAGTTAGGGTTTAAGATAGGATTAAGATGCCACGATAGGAAAGGAGGAGAAGACTCCAGAAGAAGCGGCTGTTTGATTGAGAACTCCGGTGGAGGAGGGGGGGGATTTACGGAGCGAGTCGTGAAAACAGCTGACAGGAAATTCTGCACCTCGTCTTCAGCGGCACGAACAAAACTATGTTTCACTTCAAAACAGCCGCAGCCAAGACGTCTGCAGTCTGCAGCACACAGGTGTTAAATGTGCAGAACACACTGTGCCCGAATGAAACGCTACACACGGTTGTTGTTGTTGGTGTGCTTGTGTTATGACCCCAATGTACCTGACACCTCTAACATTATCATCTGATGTTTATTTCAGAATCGAGTCGCTAGAATGGACATTCCGAGGGGCTGGATTTGGCCTGCGGGCCATCAGTTGATTAACACTAACCTAAACCACGACATCATAAATCCATCATCTCCTGAACTCCTACAGAACCTGCAGCAGTGATTACAACGAAGATTTTCCAACTTGGACATATCTCTAGAAAAGACCTTTGACCCTCACCGTTATTCCGGTTCCTGAACTTTTCCTGGTTATTTCCAATCCCTTTTAGCTGTTTTATCATGAAGTGATTTGCTCTTGAGGGTTTTCTTTGTTATACTTTTATACTATAGTACTTCAATACAAGCAGTACTTTGGGATCCTGGTAAAAAAATAAAATACAGCTCTACTGTAGCAGTTTCTACATTTCATCTATTAGATGCATTTTATCATGTTATACAACAATCTCTGCTTT